GATTGTTCCAAGATAGAATCTGAGAATTTGAACTTAGCCATCAAGACTAAGAAGAGCAAACTTGGGGACGGGGGTGGTCTAGATTTCACCTCATTTCATCAATGCTTAAGAATTTGAATCTTGTGCTCACTTCAGCACATATACGAAAGGGTTTGAATTTTACCCACCCCCTAACCTGCTAGGTAGTCTTAGGTAGTAGCCTTCTCTGTGGTAACTTTTTTTCTCATATGTGAAATAGTACATTGTGGAGAAATCCACTTTTACTGGGATATATGGAAGCTGGAAGTTGCAGGAAAGCTCTGTGCTCCAACAGCATAAACTGCTATAAGTATCCCACAAATAATTTTTTTCAATTTATTTTTTAATTTACATCCAAATCAGTTAGCATAGAGTACAATTATTTCAGTAGATTCCTTAGTGCCCCTTACCCATTTAGTCCATCCCCCTCCCACAACCACTCCAGTAACCCTGTTTGTTCTCCATATTTATGAGTCTCTTCTGTTTTGTCCCCCTCCCTGTTTTTACATTTTTGTTTCCCTTCCCTTATGTTCATGTTTTTTCTCTTAAAGTCCTCATATGAATGAAGTCATATGATATTTGTCTTTCTCTGACTAATTTCACTTAGCATAACACCCTCTAGTTCCATCCCCATAGTTGCAAATGGCAAGATTGCATTCTTTTTGATTGCCGAGTAATACTCCATGGTACATATGTATACCACATCTTCTTTATCCATTCATCCATTGACGGACATTTGGGCTCTTTCCATACTTGGCTATTGTTGGTAGTGGTGCTATAAACATGGGGGTGCATATGTCCCTCTGAAACAGCATACCTGTATCCCTTGGATAAATACCTAGTAGTGCAATTGCTGGGTGGTAGGGTAGTTCTATTTTTAGTTTGAGGAACCTCCATACTGTTTTCCAGAGTGGCTGCACCAGCTTACATTCCCACCACGAATAATTTTTATAAATATTTGGCTCATGGTTGTTTACCTTCCAGTTATTACTATGAAATACATCTCTGCATCGAGGCAGTGACAGCATCTAAAAAAAAAAAACAAGAAAAAAGTATAAACCTGAGCCCACCTTTTAGGTAAGGTTGAAAGTGGCAGTGAGGTATATCCAATTACACACCTTTTGTTAAAAGGGAAACAGCATCGGGATGGAGTAGCAGGTGAAAACATTTTTCTCAGGGCCCAGACAAGGGCATTTAATATTACTGGACACAAAGGAAACTAGGAGCTCCTCTTTCCACTGTATTGTCAGTGTGTGTCAACTTTGGATCCCAGCCTGTGGGCCCAAGTGGTTGGATAAATCATGTCATCAGTTTGCCTGAAATCTTCTAGTAACTTCCCGCTAACTTTAGAAATCTCATTCCTTCCCCTGACTAAAAAGTTAAGATTGCTCTGGATCCCCCTGCCCCCAACTGTATTTTCTACCTCAGTTCCTTCCCCCTTTCCATTCCTTTAAACCCAGCACTTGAGCCCATTTTTTCCCCCCAGTCACTGAAACATGGTCAGTAGTTCCTGCCATGGGGCCTCTCCACTTGGGTTCCCTTTTTGGTGGCTGACTCTTCATCAGTCGGGTCAGAGGGCTCTACTCATGATTCAGGTTATCACATATCCTGACTTACTTAAAACAGGGCTTACAAACTAAGGTTTATATTTCTTATCTTCTCCACCTTGGCCACTAACTGGGACATACGCTATCATTTTACCATTCTATCAACACAGCCTAAAGTGGAATCTGGCACATTGTAAAGAAGCATTCAATTCATATATGCTGAATTCATGAATGCTAGCATGAGGTACTATTTTTAAACAAAAAGACTAGTAGCCTTGAAATAAAAATTTTAAATTCACAAATACTACAATTTTGCCGAGGAATGTAACTCTCAGTACAAAACTGAGATGAATTACACCATTTAAAAGGTTGTGGCTTCAGGGCACCTGTAAGTCAGTGGAACATGTGACTCTTGATTTCAGGGTTGTGAGTTCAAGCCCCACGTTGGGTATAGAGATTACTTAAAATCTTAAAAAAAAAAAAAAAAAAAAGTTGTGGCTTCTAGGAATCTGAACAGAAATGACCCAGGCAGGTAGGCAACTTAAGATGGAAGTGTTTATATAAATTAACCCATCTAGTTTAATTTGCTATGTATGCTTCACGTAGTACTGAAGAAGGAAGAATATATACTTCCCATATTAATAAATGACATCAAATAAGTAGGAAGAGTTTCAATAACAAGGCCATAGATACATTGAAACCCCTTTTTATATTAAAAGTTTAAATGAAAGACAAATCCAGGTTGAACATAGTGATTGCAAAATATAATGCAATTTTGAACAATTAAAATTATGAAAATATACAAAATTGATGGGCAACACAGCTACGCATTTGTACATTTTCCATTATGTGGAGGACACTAAAAATTTCTCTATGTTTTATCCACATCAGATAAATGATTTAAACCAAATGTTTGCTTTGGAGAGTCTTAACTTAGGATCTCAGTAGTATAAAAAGCAGTAATTTTTCAGTCTGTAAACAGTAGTCGTGTTTTTTCTTTTTTTTAAATATCAATTTACCACACAAAAACAAACACAACAACAACAACAAAAAAAAACCCACACAAACCAAAAACAGCAGCAGCAGCAATGGGTTATTTGGGAATTCTCTTCAAATACCAATGACATACAATTGCTGGAGAGGGTGCTTTTTACTCATGTAAGAATATATATATATATATATTTTTTTTTTTTTTAACTGTACACAATTTATAGTGCATAACAGTTTCCAAAAGAACAGATCAATAAAAGATATTGGCCATTTCTGCATAATTTCATTCTTTTTACAATTATCTCAAAATGTAAGAGGTTGGATCTAATTGAAATGCTACATTTAGTAGGAAAATCAGCAAGTAACAAAAGAAGCATAACCTCGACGTAACATTATTTGTCACTAAAACCAGTAGAGGTCCCAGGTGCCCCTAGGCAAAAGACTAGTTAGGTAGACCACTGGAGTCAAGCACTGTCCCTGAGGACCAAAGCCAGCTCACTGAGCACACATATGCTAGATTGACCATGGTCAGTTAATAGACTTGTTTCATAGAGCATTTCTATTTCTATGTACAGTATTTTTGGATATTCAAAGAAGCATCATTTCAAGAACACATGTCATACACACATCCCCCACCCCCATACACACACCAAGTTCCATCTAAATAGGCAATAGTTTTACAAAATTATGATATGTTGTCCTTAAATTAGATTTGGAATCAATTAGAACTTTCAGTTCATCTTGTTCAAGGCAGTTCTTCCTTTTGGGATGGGGTATGACGGCTGTGGATACCAACTTAGATCAAAAAATAACTTCTTGAAACTACTTGATGGACTAGGATTTCCAGCAAGTCTTATTTTGAACAGATAATTTTGTAATTTTCTAAAAAATTTCCTTGGAAGTTTAAACAGCTATTTATCATCCTATCAAATTGTGAATCTAAGAAAGTCAAGATGAGGGGACAAAATACAATTGTTTTGCATACAGAGATTTTCCGAGCTCTCTTTTGTTGCTTTTAAAAGAAAAAAAGTATCACGTTTCACTGGAGAAGCATTGGAAATGACCTGTAAGATCGTCAAGACCAATCAGTCCTCCATCAGATGCTTGAATTTCCTCATCAAACTCATGTGTTTGCTCTTACAGAATTATTAACTTAATGGTATTTGAGTAACAAAGACCAAAAACAGAAGCACAGATTCAAACACAAAAACTTATCAAAGTAATTGTATAAACTGTATAACATTTTCAAGAGCATTGTTTATCCTTTCTGTCAGACTGACCTCTGAAGCTACAGTCTTGGGGAGCTCCAGGTGTACAATGTAAACACCACCCTGGTGCAATTCTCAAGTTTGAAGAAAGCAGACTGAAAGTCAAACCCAATGGGTAACATTTCTTTTGCCAGCCTAAAACTTAAAACCTAGATTAAGTCCATAATATACATTCCTTCCTTCCTTCCTCCCCAAACTCCCCACTTAAAAAACACTAAAGTATTAAATCTTTATTTTCAAGCATATATATATATATATATATATGCTTGAAAATATATATGTAAAAGCATATACATATATATATATCTCACAAAACCAATGACACTGGTATTAGACTCGCCTGCATAAATTATGTACACCTCTCTTCTTTAAAACAGTGATTCCCATCTTTCCCAAAGATGGATGAAAGACAGCAAGCTAGTACTCAGCAGGACCGTAAGTGGCCTGCACTGCTTTCCCCTCCATACAGCCGTAAGTTAACACAAGCCTATTTGTGATTTAACTCTCACAGGAGCTAGGATGGGGATGTCTTGGCTATTAGACTATTAAACCAAACACTTGAGTGCCTGTGGTCTTCTGAGGGGCACCCTTCACTGACAGGTGCCTATGCCAAATTTCATCTGAGGCCTTTTGGGTACCTGCTTTGGATTCTGTGGGAGCAAAGCAGCTGAGGAAACCTCAAAACTAAACTAATGTGGAAAGGAAAGAGGGCCTGCTCCCAGCCATGGTCCCCCTCCACTGCTTTCTGCTTCCTAAGGCTCAAGAACCAGACCAAACACCCACTGCTATAATGGTAGGGCCATTCAGCTGCTCTGAGGTCAATGCTTTATGCTTAATTTCTATTGCTGCTTTTATAGGACACCCCTCCCCCCCACCAGGTGTTTCTGGCGATGGAAGGAAAGAAGAAAAGTGGGGTTCTCTTGTGGCTGCCATATGCATATGAACATGTATAAAAAGTGGTCAAACCCAGATAAGGGTCCTGCTTCCGGTTTATATACAATAATTTAATCAGTTGTATACATTTAATACCTAAAAAATTAATTCACAATCAAAGTCCTTCATGCATTTTATGAGGAAGTTCTGGATTAAAATGATGGTCAACCAGATGTCGCTTTTGCCTGGGAAGATGATGTCATTTTCTGCTGCAGAGTCATTGATGCCTGTGGTTCACACTTGCTTAAATTTTTAGTTTCTTTGTGGTCTCCAGTCTTTTCTTCAGCAGCTCACCAATTTCCAGAAGTGAGTGTAGATAACTGCTTTGCACCTTCCCTTGCACAGTCTTTGAAAATTTTCTCTCTTCCTACAAACGAGACAAGAATTAGTGGTCTTGCTCTGAAAGCATTCTCCCAGATTATAGTTCCTCTCACAGATGTTAAAACTACCAATGGCGCTCCTGGATGGCTCTGTTGGTAGAGCATCAGACTTCTGCTCAGGTCATGGTCTTGCGGTTTGTGAGTCTGAGCCCTGCACCGGGCTCACTGCTATTAGCACAGAGCCTACTTCGGATCCTCTGCCCCCTCTCTCTGCCTCTCCGCCACTTATGCACTCTCTCTCAAAAATAAATACACATTAAAAAAAAAAATTACCATTACCTTTGGTCTCATGGCAAGTTTCATCAGAATACAGTGGGTCATTTTCAGTTTCAAAAAATGCAAAGAAGGCTAAAGCTCATCAGAGATGTACATTTTTCCATGTGATTGTTCACTAACGCTATTACTTTAGCTTTACTTTTTTTTTAATTTTTAATGTTTATTTTTGTTTTTTTTTAATTTTTTTTTTAACATTTTTATTTATTTTTGAGACAGAGAGAGACAGAGCATGAACGGGGGAGGGTCAGAGAGAGGGAGACACAGAATCCGAAACAGGCTCCAGGCTCTGAGCTGTCAGCCCAGAGCCCGACGTGGGGCTCGAACTCACGGACCGTGAGAGCGTGACCTGAGCTGAAGTCGGACGCTTAACCGACTGAGCCACCCAGGCACCCCTGTGTTTATTTTTGAGGGAGAGAAACAGAGTGTGAGTGAGGGAGGAGCAGAAAGAGAGGGAGACGCAGAATCCGAAGCAGGCTCTAGGATCTGAGGTGTCAGCACAGAGCCTGACATAGGGCTCTAACTCATGAACTGTGAGATCATGACCTAAGCCAAAGTCAGATGCTTAAACTGACTGAGCCACCCAGGAGCCTCTAGCATTATTATTTTTAATTCTTCCATCAGTATTCTCTGTTTTTTTTTCAACGTTTATTTATTTTTGGGACAGACAGAGACAGAGCATGAACGGGGGAGGGGCAGAGAGAGAGGGAGACACAGAATCGGAAACAGGCTCCAGGCTCCGAGCCATCAGCCCAGAACCTGACACGGGGCTCGAACTCACGGACCGCGAGATCGTGACCTGGCTGAAGTCGGACACTTAACCGACTGCACCACCCAGGCGCCCCTCTCTGTTTTAATTATACAAAGTGAAAAAACTGAGATTTCCGATTATTATCTTTCATATAGAAAAAAGGTAGAAAATTTATTACTAAGTAGTTTGAACATAAAATCACTAATATTTTGTTATAGGCTACACAAAATGGAAAAATTAATATTTCTGATTACTTCATCAGAAAACAAAAATGGAAATTTATTATTAATTTGGACATTATCATACCCACTTCTTAAAAGCATCAAATTTACCTCTGCCACCTTTTCTAGCGATAATATTGATAGGTCCCCCTCTATATTGACAAAGTCCATTGGTTCCACAGACCAAACAGCTTAAAAAAAAAAAGAACAAAGCTTTCTGAGACCTACTCAAATATGTGAGTTAAATACTTACTGCACATTTTACAAAAAATAAAGGGATGGAATGTTCAAACAGAAAAAAGGAGGCTGGCTAAGAACTAATCAGGCTTACATGAAATTGGCAGTATTGCAAAACCCTGAAGAAATTAGGTAAGCATACCTTATAGCCAAATAATACTACTACTCGAGACCTAATCTATCTTGGAAGTACACATGTGCATAAGAGAAGGTATATAAAATACATTTCATTCAGTACTGTAGTAAAAGTAAATATATATAAACAACCTAAGGGGCACCTGGGTGGTTTAGTCAGTTAAGTGTCTACCTCTTGATCTGGGTTCAGGTCATGATCTCACAGTTGTGAGATCAAGACCCATGCTGGGTGTGGAGACTGCTTGAGATTCTCCCTCTTCCTCTGCCCCTCCCCTACTTGCTCCCATGTGCTCCTTCTCTCTCTCAAAAAAACAAAAAAACTGAAATATCCAATGGCTATGATGCACTCATATTTGAATGTCATACAGTTGTTTAAAAGAAGCCTTAACAAATCTCTTGAATATAAGGTTAAGTGAAAAAAAAGCCAAGTTTCAGAATAAAACAATGTATCATTTACTTTCAAAAACCTAACAGCTATTAGCGTATATTTTAAGGTTACATTAAAAGGTCTAGGCACAGACCAGTTTCAGTGGATACCCCTACGGAAGAGGAAAAGAACCAGGACTGGAGATGGTAGTCCAGAGGCCTTATGGATAGTTGTTTCAAGTTTAGAAAGAAAAGAAGGAAAGAGGGACGCCTGGGTGGCTCAGTCTGTTAAGTGGCCAACTTTGACTCGGGTCATGATCTTGCGGTTCATGAGTTCGAGCCCCATGTGGGCTCTGTGTTGACAGCTCAGAGCCTGCTTCGGATTCTGTGTCTCCCTCTCTCTGGCCCTCCCCTTATCACACTCTATGTCTCTCTCTCCCTTTCTCAAAAATAAATACATTAAAAAATAAAGAAAGAATAAAGAAATAAACCTAGTGGAAACTGAATTTAAAAAAAATTTGTTTTTACCCTAAAGATAAATAGCACTATATGGATCCTATATTTGGTGGCTGATGCTGCTCAGTATATGTATCATGACTTCAACAAAAATAGGCAATATAAGGCCATTATTATTTTGCTCACTATAATCCTATAAAATAGGTATTATGATTTTCATTATACAGATAAAGAAACTGAGGCCCAGAGAGGGTAAGCGACTTTCCCAAGGTCAAAAGATGAGGACAGAGTCAAGGCTCGAAAAATCTAAAGTAGCCCAAAGTTAAAGATAACCTTTAGAATACTCAAAATGAGGGGCGCCTGGGTGGCTCAGTTGGTTAAGTGTCCAACTTCAGCTCAGGTCATGATCTTGCGGTCCGTGAGTTGGAGCCCCACGTCGGGGTCTGTGCTGACAGCTCAAAGCCTGGAGCCTGCTTCAGATTCTGTGTCTCCCTCTCTCTCTGACCCTCCCCCATTCATACTCTGTCTTTCTCTGTCTCAAAAATAAATAAACAGTAAAAAAAAAAAAAAAAAAAAAAAAAAAAAAAAAAAAAAAAATTAAAAAAAAAATAGAATACTCAAAATGATCAATCTTATTCCTCATGTCAGAGGGCAGACAGATCCTTTAACAACAACCACACAACCATCAACAGTGGCCTACTGTGCCTGTCATCTTTGTAGCGGACAGTCCTTCCCACATACCATGTGCTCTAGCTCTGCCAACGGACTCATGGTGCCCCACACAATTTACCTTTCTGCCTCTGCTCTGTGCCTTCTGTTTCAGATTCCTTTCATCCATTCCAGTCTGCCTACTGAAAACTTACTAATCCTTAAATGTCCCCTCTCCAGTGAGACTCTTTCTGGCCCGTTCCATTTCTGTGCATATATCATATCTCCAATTTAAAGTAGTTTTTGAATATATCTCTCTAAAGCCAGGTTTTTCGATCACTGTATTTCTATGAGCATTTACCCAACAACAGCGAGCTCAATAAAACTGTATTTATCTGCTTATTAACATTCTCAAAGATACCCAGCAAAGCCCAACCACATGAAGCAATGTGACATTCTTTCAAGTTTGTGACCTTTAAGATTATTATTGCTGATCGCCTACAGTCTCTTACCAGCGAGAGAGAAGTATCTTCTAAAATAAGTTCTTCAAGTTTAAGTGCAATTAGATGTGTTTCAAGCCCTTTAATGTGATCCACAACATTGGAAATTAAAGTCTGAAGCCCAGTAACGTAGTCTTGGAAACTGGTAAAGATTGGTGGCTGGAAAAAAGATTTTTTAAAAGATGAAAGATTATCAAACATATTTCCTTCACTCATATCACATAAGCTATATTAACTTCATGCTATAGTTTTACTTAATGCTATAAATAGTAACAGGGATGGATACAGTTTTGGATATTAAGACAGTCTCTCTAAACCAAGGTAAATTTAACTGGCACCAAATAATGCTAATTCAGAAACAATGACAAGCATTTTTTTAAATGGGGAACTAGAGATGGAAAAACCAACAGAAAATATCTTAGTTGGCTATTACTCAACTTCAGGCTGGTACTCTTCTGGAACACTAAAGAAGATGAAAGAAACCAAAACTTCATTTCTCTATATGTCACTGAGATTTCCTCTAATGTTAACAACAGAAATATAACAGAAATAAGAGTTTTCTAAGTTCTAATAGAAAACATAATGGGAGACAACAGCCAAGAAAATTCTGAAAAACAATGGTTATGTAGAATTTGCCCTCATATATATTAGAGTAGATCATAAAGTTACATGAAATCCAGATAGTATGGATATATAAGTAAGGTGATAAAAAAGTGAAAAGAAACAGGTCCTAAGATAAAACTGAAGAATATAAGGGAATTTAAATGAATTTAAGGGATGCCTGGGGTGGCTCAGTCAGTTAAGCAGCCAGCTCTTGGTTTTGGCTCAGGTCATTATCCCAGAGTCATGGGTTTGAGCACCACATGAGGGCTCCAAGCTGAGAATGGAGCCTGCTTAGGATTCTCAATCTCTCTCTCTCTCTCTCTCTCTCTCTCTCTCTCTGCCGCTTCCCTACTTGCACACACACGTGAGCTCTCACTCTCAAAACAAAACAACAACAAAAAAACCACATAAAATAATAATAAATAATAAATAAAAATAAATCAATCATAAAACAAAACAGGGGTACCTGGCTGGCTCAGTTAGTAGAGCATGTGACTCTTGATCTCAGGGTTGTAAGTTTGAGCTCCACACTGGGTATAAAGATTACTTAAAAATAACATCTTTTAAAAAATAAATTAAGTGAATTAAATAGTTAAGTACCAAAATAAATTCCAGGTAGATTTAAACTTAACTTTAAAAAATCCACCCAAGTACCAGAAGAAAATTTAGGTAATGGTTCGTGTAATCATAAACTGAAAAGGCCTTTCTAAACATTACACCAAGCTAAGAACTATAAAAAAAAATATTTTTAGGGGTGCTGAGTGGCTCAGTGGGTTAAGCATCTGACTTTGGCTCAGGTTATGATCTCACAGCTTGGAAGTTCCAGCCTGTGTGGAGCTTTGTGCTAATACCTCAGAGCCTGGAGCCTGCTTCAGATCCTGTGCCCCTCTCTGTGCCCCTCCCCTGCTCACACACTGTCTCTCTCCTTCTCTCTCTCTCTCTCAAATATAAACATTAAAAATATATATATATATAATTACTATGTTGACCAAAAAAAATACTCAAAAGACAAATGAAAAGAAAAATTTGCATCATATAGGATATAGAGTAACATTATTAAGACCTGAATAGCTCAAAACACATCAAGAGAAAAAATATTACTACCACAACAGGAAATCTGGGCAAAAAGATGAACAAAAAAGACATCAAAGAAATCCCAGAAACATATGACAAAATTCAAAAATCAGACAAACACAAGAAACCTGGCCAATCAATTAGTAAGGCTAGCCTTTGACTCAAGAAGTTTTCCTTGAAGGTTCAACATTTTTTCTTTTTTTAAAGTAAACTCTACACCCAATGTGGGGCTTGAACTCACAATCCTGAGATCAAGAGTCATGCATTCCTCCAACTGAGCCAGTCAGGCAGTGCCCCACCCCGCCAACCCTCCACTCAATTTTTTTTAAATGCAAATGAGAAAACAGGGAATACCAATGTTTCATCATATAACCATTTAAAGTAATGAGATACATCTACGTATCTCCTGAAGAGATGCCCAGATAACCTGTTAAATGAAAACAAACACAAACAGACAAGTTGCAGAACCTCCCATAGAGTGTAATTCTGGTTTGTTTGCAGTGGCAATTACTGGTTGGTGGGAATATGGGTGGTCTTCATTTTATTCACACCTTTAGGTTACTTTGATGATCAGAAATATACAAAAGCTATTCTCATTTTTAGAAACTAGAAAAGCAATAACTATAACCCACCTCCATCCCAATCCAAATACGAAAAAGCTATTTGACACAGTTGAAGAGCACAGGCTTTCATCAGAAGAGAAAGTAACAGAGCAACTCTGTTCTATGCCATCAAACTTAACACTCATGATATGTTAAATTACATTGGGAAAAAAAAGGACAGGTTTCTTCATTACATCCTGCTCCAAATAGAACTACCCTTTGTTTCTGAATGAATAGAAACATCCAGCAAAGCAGTGTCAAATCTAAAGAATTCCTGAATTGTTACTGAATTATGCAGGAAGTCAAAATTACTACTAAAACCATCAACATTAAAAAAAAAATCAACATTTTCAAATGACAATGGTTGCTATGTTGCTACAGTGAACAAAAATCTCCCACCTAGGATAAATGCAAACATTAATAAAATAGCATATCCTGCACAGAATGAATCCTAAATAATTTTCCTTATGAAAAGGATACAATTTATATTAATGTTTTACGCATTCAAAAACTAAATCAATCAAGATGGGAAGACACTACAAAACTGAATAGAAAGAGAAATAAATGAACTTTATTTATATCACACTAATAATCTCAGTTTTTAATTCCAGTGTTTCTGCAGAGTACTGCAACTGTCTATATTAACTGGAACATATTCTTTTTTAAAAAATATTTATTTATAGGTACCTGGGTGGCTCAGTTGGTGGAGTGTTCGACTTTGGCTCAGGTCATGATCTCGTGGTCTGTGTGTTCAAGTCCCAGGCTCTGTGCTGACAGCTCAGAGCCTGGAGCCTGCTTCTGATTTTGTGTCCCCCTTTCTCTCTGCCTCTCCCCCACTCATTCTCATACTCATTCTCTGTCTCTCTCTCTCTCAAAGAAAAACATTAAAAAAAATTTTTTTTAAAGGATGATACTCAAGGGGTGCCTGGGTGGCTCAGTCCGTTGAACATCTGACTCGACTTCAGCTCAGATCATGATCTCATGGTTCATAGGATCGAGCCCATCATTGGACTAGAATTCTCTCTCCCCCTCCCCCGCTTCTGTGTGCTCCCACGCATGCTCATGCTCTCTCGCTCTCTTTCTCTCTCTCCCTCAAATATTTAAAAAGCAAACAAAAAAGAATGATATTCAAATAGATGGTGATACTTAAAAATATACATACAAATATATATATGAATGAGTGTGGGACAGCTCTACCAAAAATGCCAACCAATACATGATAAAAGGATTGACAGAATTTTTAAAAATCACCAGTGTGGAACCATAACTTTAAATAAATGATTATGCAAGTTAGACTTAACAGATGTTAAAACCAGCGGATGAAAGGCTGGCAGGTAATAGGATATTCACGATCTCAAAGTATTGTCCCATGGATGACTTATTAATCACAGGGTGGGAAAGGCACCTTTACAATGAAGAAATCCATAGACACTGCCTTTATCAAATAATTTCATCTGAGATCACCAATAATGGGACTTAACATGAGTGCCCCCTGACTTAATTTGCTAAAAAGGAAATAGCATCTATATTTAACCTAAACCCAAGGAAACAATAAGCCAAATTCAGATTGTAAGACATTCTACCAAAAACTGAGCTAGACCGTTGAACAATAAAGATAAACAAAAGACTAAGGAAGGTGAAAGGAGGGTAAAAAGACATGGTAACTAAAAGCCATGTCAGATAAACTTAACAGGATCCCAGTATTTTGAAAAGCACTATAATAAAGAACACAATTGGGTAAGTGGGGAAATCTGAATACAGACATTATAACAGGATTGCATCAGTATTAAATGTCTTAGGTATGAAAATTTCTTCAGTACTGTGATTCTGTAGGAGACTGTATCACAGTCTGTACTTTTCTTTTAAACGGTTCAACAAACAAGAGGTTGGGACAGATGATAGAATGAGAGAAAGATAAAGGAGATGTGGCAAATGTGGAAATTAAGACATTTCTAAGTTATAACTAAGCCAAGAAAGAAATCATAATTAAAATCAGAAAATATTTTGGGCGTGGTGTTAACAAGTGTCAAGTAAGGATATCTGAGTGTTATCATGCTGGTCTTTAAGCTTTTCTGTAGGTATGTAATTTAAAAAAAGAAAAAAAAGCTTGACAGAGAAAATGAATGTACACAGGATCCTAAGGTCTCCTTCAATATGCAGGAAAACAGTGAAAATTAAAAGCTGCACGCAGCCAAGTTATTGTGTTTTCTGTTATTACCATGATGATGCTGGTTTCTTTTTTCTTCTTTTTCTTTTTCTGTAGATTTAATTTATATGGTCGCAAGACACTCTCACAGTAACTGGACACCCAAAGGATAATAGAAATAGTCTGAAAGAGGAAAAACCGCAAATTCATCAATAACAGTTCAAAGTTATGGATTAAATAATCCTTGCCAACGGTGCTGTGCAAATCCCTTCAAGGTCTCCTCTAGCTCATTACAGATTAGAGTGATCAGATTCATTTCTACAATCACCACACAGACCCAGAAGACCTTCATCTGAATACTGCTCAGAATACTATGATTGCTTCAATCTTTAGCCTTCCTTCTAGCTCTCCCAGCTCTAAACCCATCCTCTACTCTATCCAGCTTCCTTTTAAATTTGTAGCAATTTATTAACATCTTTTTCACTCAAGTGAAAGGTCCAAATTCCTAGGCATGGAAGCCAAAGGTTCTTTACAATATGCCTCTCCTCACCCACTTCCCCGATTAAGGTATTACCTCACCTGCAAATCTTAAACTTAAATATAAACAGAAATCTCCCTAGTTGGTCAGTACATTTCTTCTTTGTCGTAACTTAGGTGTTTACACCTATGCTTCTTCTCTGCTACAGAGTGTGCATGTACATATACATGCAGTTATTACTGATTTGTTCAGAGGCTTATACGCTTACACTGTGCCAGTTACCAGAACAGACTAGGAGGAGGAAAATAAACGTGACAAAAATAAGATAATGGATTATACGTGTTTGTAATCCTTCTCTTCTCTCTGGTTAAAAAAGAGTTGCTAAATCAGCGCCCAGATTCTCCTTCACAATGCAGAATCTTAGTAATTGGTAGTAGCAACAAATTTAAAAAGCTAGTGGAATTAACTTAAAGTACGTAATAGTTAAGTCAAAAAAGAAAAGGAACAGAGAACAGACAGATTTGGAGTGAACCTGAGGAATTTTTAAACATTGGTAAAGCAAATTACAAGTTTTATTCATTATCAACAAAACCTTCCTGGTATGCGTGGAAGGAGCACGTTCAAAAAAACGATTTAAACTGCTTTTCAGTTAACAAAAGGTGGGGGCGAGATATTAAATTACAGGTATAAGGTGCCTATTTACCTGTTCATTTTTTAAAAATTAATCCTTCACTCTAAGGAAAATCAAGTTTTTCTGGAAGGGAACAAAACTTACCTCAACAAAGAAGACTAGATTCTCTAAAAGAGCAGGATGCGTTTTCAAGTTACCATCTTTAACTTCTAAGAGGTCACCTTTACATTTACTGAAGACATCTGAAAACAAAAATATTTTATTGTTTTATATAGCTTTTGTTTCAATGCTATTTTTTTTTTTTTTAATTTTTTTTTTCAACGTTTTTTATTTATTTTTGGGACAGAGAGAGACAGAGCATGAACGGGGGAGGGGCAGAGAGAGAGGGAGACACAGAATTGGAAACAGGCTCCAGGCTCCGAGCCATCAGCCCAGAGCCTGACGCGGGGCTCGAACTCACGGACCGCGAGATCGTGACCTGGCTGAAGTCGGACGCTTAACCGACTGCGCCACCCAGGCGCCCCTTAGAAACACTATATACACTCTAAGAAAGAATAAGCAAATATAGTAAATATAAAAGCTTAATCCAAAAGCTTTTCTCCTCCACGTGAACCAAACAACAAAGAATATCTATTTTAAGCTTTTTTTTTTTTTTATGATTTTATTTTTAAGTAATCTCTATATCCAAGGTGGGGCTCAAACTCACAACCGCAAGATCAAGAGTTGCATGTTCTACCAACTGAGCCAGCAAAGCGCCCCTATTTTAAGCTCTTTAAAAAGCCATGTAACTACTGCTCTGTTGTCTTCAAAATATAAAAAGTGGCCTTATAAACTATATGTTCTAGAGTCTAAACACCAGCTAGCCTTTCCACAAACAGACCGTTGTCACAATAAAATTAAGACTCCAAGTGAATGATATAGAAGAATGTGTGCCATTATAGACCAAAAGACCAAAGTGCATGGTAGAAATTCACCTTCATAGTAAATACTACATTTTATTCTCAGGATCTTGATCTTTTAATTATCATTCTGCATTTGGGTAATAAAATAAAAGACCACTTAGGTTCTTGAAAAGAAAGACCCTCAGATTTAAAATACATATATATACATGGGGCACCTTGCTGGCTCAGTCCCATTGAGCTTCCAACTTCTGGTTTCGGCTCAGGTCATCATCTCACAGTTCATGGGTTCCAGCCCCATGGCGGGCTTCACACTCACAGCATGGGAACCTGCTTGGGATTCTTTCTCCCTCTCTCTCTGCCCCTCCCCTCGCTTGTGCACATGCACTCCTCTCTCTCAAAATAAACTAACAACAAAAAGAGATTCCTGTTTTTGTTTTTAAAAAAAAGTAAAGGGGGAGAAGATGGTGGCGTAGGAGGACGCTGGGCTCACCGCATCCTGTGGATCACTCAGATTCCACCCACACCTGCCTAAATAACCCAGAAAACCGCCAGAAGACTAGCAGAACAGATTCTCTGGAGCCAAGCGCAGATGAAAGGACCACGGAAGAGGGTAGGAAGGGCAGCAGGCAGTGCGCGCTACGTGGACTGGCGGGAGGGAGCCGGGGCGGAGGGGCAGCCCGCCAACCAAGCAGAGGCCCCGAGTCTGGCTGGCAAAAGCGGAGGGGCCAGACGGAGTGTGTTCTCACAGCGAGCGAGCGGGACTTAACATCTGGGAGGTTATAAGTAAACAGCTCTGCTCAGAGAGCGGGAGGGCTGGAGGACAACGGGAGGGAGAGTTGTTGAACCCCGGACGACAGAGCTCAGCTTGGCGGGGAACAAAGGCGCTCGCCAGCGCCATCTCCCTCGCCCATCCCCCAGCCAAAATCCCAAAGGGAACCGGTTCCTGTCAGGGAACTTGCTTGCACCCCACAAACATCCAACGCTGTGCTCCTGTGGATACACCCCTCCGGCGGCAGCGGGTCTGACTCCCTCCCAGTGCCGCAGGGCACCTCCCGAAGCGGATCACCAAAGGATAAGCAAGCTGAGCCTGCCCCTCCCACCCCCATGCACCTTGCCGATCCACCCCAGCTAATACGCCAGATCCCCAGCACCACAAGCCTGGCAGTGTGCAAGTAGCCCAGACGGGCCACATCACCCCGCGGTGAATCCCGCCCCTAGGAGAGGGGAAGAGAAGGTACACACCAGTCTGACTGTGGCCCCAGCGGTGGGCTGGGAGCAGACATCAGGTCTGACTGCGGCCCCGCCCACCAACCCAAGTTATTCAAGACAGCACAGGGGAAGTGCTCTGCAGTCCCGCACCACTCCAGGGACTATCGTTTCCGTATCCAAAACGAAACGGAAGAATTCCCCTCAAAGGAATCTCCAGGAAATAACAACAGCTAACGAACTGATCAAAAAGGATTTAAACAATGTAACAGAAAGTGAATTTAGAATAATAGTCATAAAATTAATCGCTGGGCTTGAAAACGGTATAGAGGACAGCAGAGAATCTACTGCTACAGAGAACAAGGGACTAAGGAACAGCCAGGAGGAGCTAAAAAATGCTATAAATGGGCTGCAAAATAAAATGGAGACAACCACGGCTCGGATTGAAGAGGCAGAGGAGAGAATAGGGGAACTAGAAGGTAAAATTATGGAAAAAGAGGAAGCTGAGAAAAAGAGACATAAAAAAATCCAGGAGTATGAGGGGAAAATTAGAGAACTAAGTGATGCACTAAAGAAAAATAATCGGGTGCCTGGGTGGCTCAGTCGGTTAAGCGTCCGACTTCAGCTCAGGTCATGATCTCATGGTCCGTGAGTTCAAGCCCCACATCGGGCTCTGTGCTGACAGCTCAGAGCCTGGAGCCCATTTCAGATTCTGTGTCTCCGTCTCTCTCTGCCCCTCCCCTGTTCATACTCTCTCTGTCTCAAAAATAAATAAATGTTAAAAAAAATTAAAAAAAAAAAAGAAAAAGAAAAATAATCTATGCATAATTGGTATTCCAGAGGAGGAAGAGAGAAGGAAAGGTGCTGAAGGTGTACTTGAAGAAATAATAGCTGACAACTTCCCTGATCTGGGGAAGGAAAAAGGCTTTGAAATCCAAGAGGCAGAGAGAACTCCCTTCAGAGGAAACTTGAATCGATCTTCTGCATGACATATCATAGTGAAACTGGCAAAATACAAGGATAAAGAGAAAATTCTGAAAGCAGCTATCTGAAAGGGATAAACGTGCTCTAACATATAAAGGGACACCTATAAGACTCGTTGTGACGGATCTCTCTACTGAAACTTGGCAGGCCAGAAAGGAATGGCAGGAAATCTTCAATGTGATGAACAGAAAAAATAGGCAGCTGAGAATCCTTTAGCTAGCAAATCTGTCATTTAGAATAAAAGGAGAGATAAAGGTGTTCCCAAACAAACAAAAACTGAAGGAATTCGTCACCACTAAACCAGCCCTACAAGAGATCCTAAGGGGGATCCTGTGAGACAAAGTACCAGAGACATTGCTACAAGCATGAAACCTACAGACATCACAATGACTCTAAACCCATATCTTTCTATAATAACACTGAATGTAAATGGACTAAATGTGCCAACCAAAAGACATAGGGTATCAGAATGGATAAAAAAACAAGACCCATCTATTTGCT